CTCACATCAGGTTCAGTATTTAACACTTAAAGTATGTAGTGAGATTTTTTGTTTTTCTTAGAGAGACAGTTTCTTCCTCAGTTCCATTTTAAGGAGACTTAACAAAACCATAACAAGGAAACTGGCAAGGGAGATAATTTTGCAAACTGATCATGTATCCCTACAGAAAAAAATCAGCTTCAGTGACATTTCGTGGATAAAATCTTAATGGTACCCTGAACTGCAGAATTTAAGTGATATGAAACAAAATAAAATTACTGTTTTATGACAAAAATGTATATTGCATCATTGTGTTACGTTTAATCAAATCAAAGTGCAGACATATAACTGCAACATTTAACCCAACCCTGTAACAATAAAATTTATTTAATTCTATGGTGGTACCATTAACAGGACCGGAAACTCAAAACAGCTCCCCTTAGAAATATATCCTTTCTGGTACAGTAGTTAACATATCACGTTTTAACTTCAGTAACGAAATCAATACACGGGGTATCTATGTTATTTATCACGATGACATGATAATGCTGTGTTATTAGTTTTCACAACATCTATTCTCTATTTCAATTGTGTTACATCCATAAGTGATCCAAACAATTACATATTTTAAAAATTTCTGATTTCCCAAGTGAAATTTCTTACCACTTTGGTTTGTGATTTTAAGACATGCTTTCCTTTGTGACCAGTGATCTCTAAGTTTGCACATGATGAATGGTTTTAGTTGTCAGTAATTTAAGTATTTAAACGTCATCACAACGGAAGGAGTAATGATTTTTTTTTTGTTTCAAAATGGATGATATACTTTTTATGAGACAGAGAGGAACTCCACAGCTGTACATCAAAGTAAGCTTTAGCCTTAATTGGAGTCACAGATCAGACCATTCTTTCTGGATCAGCAGTAAACCACATCAGAATAGTCAGGAAATGGCTTGTGCCTTAGTTAACTTTTTTGAACATTTCCCTAAATAAACTTGCTGACAAAGGAAGGACATAATTATGCATTGGTGATGAGTTTGATATGACTCACAGTTAAATACAGTACGTAACAGAACTGTATGTATTCTAGAACTAAGAAGTAAGCCACTGGATGTGTCTCACTTCCCAGTCATTTTGTTCAATTACTGCTGACTTGTCGGGTATGTAGTGTACAATGTATATCCAATGATACATATACAATGTTAATATCTACAGTCCCATCATCCCTAGATACATTTGTATGTGATCGTCACACGCTGCAAAGTCAGTTTTTTTACCATGATCGTCACGGACTCCAAAGTCAGTCTTCTTTTATTTACATGATCGTCACACTCTGACAAATTTAGTATTTTTTGTATCATTTTATCACATAAACTGATAATTATTAATAAGTGTAGTAGTGAACAATAACAGTATATAAAGAGCCATAATGGTGCGTATGTACCTGTAGGTTTAATGTCGTCCCTGACAATAGTTAACACTGTACCACTATCTCTACATCAGTTAAGTACATCACTCCATGATGGATATAAATGATTATCATAACTGAGATGACAATCTGTATACCTGTTAACAATGACTTACCTCTGTTTGGACCAGGTGTATATACACCAGTGTACTGTGTGTATACACTGTCTATAGGTAAGTAAGATTACAGTAGGTACAGACATGTGACTTGCACTATACATGCATAATCAGTTTACTTAATAAAGTAAGATTATAGCAGGTACAGACATGTGACTTGCACTATACATGCATAATCAGTTGGTACAGACATGTGACCTGCACTATACATGCATATTCAATTTACTTATTAAAGATTACAGAAGGTACAGACATGTAACTTGCACTATACATGCATAATCAGTTGGTACAGACATGTGACCTGCACTATACATGCATATTCAATTTACTTATTAAAGATTACAGAAGGTACAGACATGTAACTTGCACTATAGTTTACTTATTGCTGCATAGTCTTGTACACAGCAAAATGACTCAATTTTTTGGCTGATCAGTTCTGGAAATTTTGTATAGGGAAGTTTTGCCTGCCCTGATTTTTGCTAACATTTTATACATTCATTCGGCAGCCTTTGTTTGGAAGTTTTACTATCTGTATTATGTAATGACTCAATTTAAACAAGGACTCAGATAACAATTTGTCAAACTTCTCTTACTGTGGATAAACATTATTTATCATACCATTGCAAAACAAGCTTAAGAAACCCAAGTACCCAAGGAAACCCCATGTGGTCTGACATCTGGGTTCATACCTTTCCACATCCAATCACGGATCAACCCCTGTCACGAGTGTGTTACCGCGGCACCACCCAACCATTTTTATCCTGTATTTACCTGAACAATTCTATATTGCTGAGACTGTTTCAATTACAACTGATAGAATGAATTCTGAATGTACACTTTATGTATACATATTATTACCATCTAATTTTGTAGTTTGTTACTGTACAAGTACACAGTACAGGTCACCTTGCTAGCCTTAGCTAGTGGGAATTCCCCTTCAGTGGAATGGAAGAGTGTCCAGATAGAGATTTAAGGGTTGCTAGTTCGAACCCCGGTAGGAAAGAGTGTTTTTCATTACACCTTCCTACTACAGATTTGATGCTGACGACCACTTGACAGTTGGAAGCTATAGGAGACTGAGATGCATCCTTGGGGTGTAAGAACTTTGGTTGTTGATGTTGTCTGTAGGGTCAAAGACTTGTAATGGAAGAAGAAGTGTAGAACTTGAGAGCATGTGTCGCCTTTCTAGCCTAGAGTGAATTTCTGTTAAAAAGTAGTCCACCATAGAGTGATTGACTAAAGACTACACAGTCACCAGTTCCGACCCTGGCACAGACAGGGTGTTTTTCATTACTCCTTCCTATTACACATACATCCTATATTTAGTGTAATACTACTTTACATGTAATGATATACATGAGTAGTATAGACATATGTAGGTATTAACTGTGGTCCATATGCAACATTTTGATCAAATGTATAGGATAATATGTTATATTTAGAGTAAATACCAATCTGACCATAAAATTCTAACCTAAATATGAAAATTTATGAGTTCAGTGTTTCAAGAAGATAGCACACTATATATGGCACATTTATCCTTGTACCATACACAAAGTCGTCCCCGCGGGAACAGACCACTTGACAACATCCTGTAAATTGTACATAACATTAGCTTATCTTGTATAGCACTTCTGACTGACTTTAATCACCAATTGTTGACTTCCAACATCTATCTTGGCTTAAAACTATCACATTCACCTTAAATTTTAAATCTAATTAGTATCCTTAATGTATGTAATTAAGATGAGGGGCTGAACTGTACTTAACATAATTATATATAATCCATAGGCCCATTTCAATGCAATCATAACTTAGACCCAGAAGTGTTTCATCATTATACAGTATGTGTGTCGTCGTCGTCGTCGTCGTCGTCGTCGTCATCATCATCATCATTAAATTAATTAATAAAATCAATTTTAATTTTTTGATCATCATCATCATCATCATCATCATCATCATCATCATCATCATCATCATCATTAAATTAATTAATAAAATCAATTTTAATTTTTTGATCATCATCATCATCATCATCATCATCATCATCATCATTCATCATCATCATCATTAAATTAATTAATAAAATCAATTTTAATTTTTTGATCATCATCATCATCATCATCATCATCATTAAATTAATTAATAAAATCAATTTTAATTTTTTGACATTGCTTATATGTTTATGAAGTAAGAACCTTTCCAATAAAGATGCAAATGTTTATTTATGGTAAAATTTAATAATCAGTCTTTCAACGAAAAAAAAATTTGATCTAGTTAAGCTATTACACATGAGAACAGGACATCAGTCCCAATAAACTCCTCTATAATGACTTTAATTTTGACATGTGGATTACGCCTCCATAAAAATTGTTGAGTTAGTCCCAGTAATCTGGAGAAACTTACATCTTACCGAGTCTGATGCTGTCAGGTGTAATCCCTATATAGTAGCAGTATATATAAGCATGTTATAACATACCTGGTATAATTATACCTGTCTAGTTAATGAGCAAACCATACATCAATGTGTACAGATCAATATCACTGTATTTAGATCGCTATGCATATATTCAAGAGTATCTGATGCTCTTATATACCGTATTTATCATACCGTAAGCCCTGTGGGGACAACACATTATCTTTGAATCAAAGTCAGGGGGTGGGCTTATTACAGAATAATGATATAGCATTTGTTGGTCATTTTACTTTACAGTAATAGATATGAGTGGGCTTATTACCAGACATGGGCGTATTACCTGATAAACATATTTATGTCAGAAATTCACCATCTGGCTCCATTCACACTTATAGTAATGAATACTATACTTGTAGGTCACAGTGCACTTTATAAGTAAATAACTACACACAATGTATCAGCTATATTGAAAGTTTTTCCGGGTTCAATAACCATCAAATACCACAGCAGTGAGACTACTATAATCAATATAGACTAGGTATCATGTGTGTATTGATTTCACATTCCTGTGTATTGTGTATCTGGTATAATTCCATTGATAAATGATGTCATAACTTATGAAGGCATTACAGGAGTTACAAAAGATGAGTAAATCGTATTTGTAGGTGTAACATATAACGGAGACTTTCCATGTAACAGTATGATTTGGTTAGGTATAAGTTTATCAAAAACAAGAATATTTCTACCAGATTATCAGGGGTTTGTACAAACATCACCTTTAAAATTCCCTCTGAGAAAATTTGATAAATTTTGTGACGATATTCAGAAAAAAGATGAAATATGGACGGAATACTTCAGAACATAGTTCATTGCACAATGTAACATATTCAATTAACAGAAAAAAGTGATTTCTAGTACCATAAATGATATTCATCAGAAACAATGCTCTGTGTATGTAAGAAAATATTCAATACTTTGTCTGGAGTAGTTGAAGTTACATCAACACCAAATACACTTATCTTACCTCGGTAGGTGAGACGTCTCCCAGCAGCTCTCCTATTCCGTTACTGGCAAAGCTTGTGGACAGGTCAAACGGGCTTTTGGAGAGGTCAGTTACTACAACAGAGGCCAATGATATAAACTAAACAGAGGGTGTAACACAACTGTATCTCTAACTTCACACAAACTCAGTACAACACATGGCTTCATTACTCAAAACACAGCATCTACATCAGCCTTTAATCTGGCTTAGACATCAATACTGAATGTAATATATGCCAAATCAGTTTCGATAGCTAAAAAATATTGTCTGAACTGAAGCACATTTCTGTTACACATTTATATCCTACCTGTTTTATAAATGATTGTTCTCCTGTAATTTATTTCTAACATATCCCACAAAAATTTATTTACTAATTTTGTAAGAAATATTCACACTATTTAGGATGATAGTATGAACTTTCGTATTCATTATATAATTACAGAACATAAGTTACCCACATGTTAAAGTATATACAAGTGTTTGTGATTGCCTCTTGAATTACTCTTCAGTAGAGATACAAGTGCCTTTTACATTTTAAGTAGACCTACTAATTGTTAATTTGACTTTGAGTGTTTCATCACAAATTTTATTTTCAGAATTAACATTTCCCTTAAGTAATTGGGAAACATTAACAGCTCATTAAAGCATCTCATTATTGAAGTAGATGCTTTGATTCTAAACTAAATCATCATCACTGACAGTATTCTAGTTTTTTTCCTTTTTCCTGTAAGTCAAATTAACAAGACTTTTCAATGTAAAAAAAATCAGCACTTGTCACATTTCAGTTGTTCTCTCGTGATAGGTATACATGTATTTAATGACGTATCTGATAGTAAAAGTACAAACCTAAAGGAGAACCCCTCTGTATGTCTATTCAATGTATATTAATTTGTAAATGAGGACTTGTACTTATATATCTTTATAGCCATTTGTCTGTCAATCAATAATGTAAATCAAAATAAAAAAAACACTTATCTATGTAGATATGATATATAACACTGATGTTAATTACATCCAAACACACTGACATACATATAGATGTATTTGTCTATGTACAACATTTATAGATGTGACAGATACATCAACTCTGTGAGTACACAGACTACAACACTGGTAGACTTATCATTACCTGGTGTCTGAGGCTGAAGTTCAAGTATTTGATTAACACCTTGGCAGAAATCGTCAAAATTAATCTTCCCTTTCCCTTCAGGATCAAGAATCTGTACAATGCCGACTACGTTCTGAAAAAAATGAAAAAAAAATCATGAAGTGAGCTGTTTTAATAATGAATATTTGATTGATATAAAATACACATTAATTACATCAGTTTCAGTACTTAAGTAGAAGAACATCATCTCTCTTTTTGCAGATAAATCTATAACAAAAGGATGCAAAAAGAAAATATTTGTGTCCATATAAGTAAACATACAAAAGTATATCAAGTATTGCAATTAGAACAGTTAGGATCATTTCTTACAGTAGGTAGTGACTACCTCATTGAATATCATGTGGAAGGTCCACCACTTGCTATCCAAAAAAATATGTAGCTACATGATTTAGCCAAGGACTCCCAACTACAACAGCTATGGCAGACTGTGATACGTTTCTTAATAAGAAACACAAATTGCCTTGTGTACAGATCGAACCATACACCTCGGATCTTTGTGCATACACATGGCACGTTTTCAGATGATCAGGTTACCAACTTAGCTATCTCAGCCCCTTGTCATAATAGATGAATAAACCAAGAAAATTATCAATTACAGAAGATGCTTTAGAAATCAGATTGTGATTTTTGCTACAAACAATAACTCTAATATGCTGTACATTTTTTTTAAAGTTAACCAGTTTCACTATAAATGACTGAGAAAATAACAAAATTGGCATTGTTTGTTCCAATGTATGGGTATATCAAATATTGTATGATACAGTCAATCAGATAATGACCTACATGTGTACTACCTTGTATTATTGTCTGATACCTATGGATCACAATACACACAGATATCATTGATATAGAGGTACTGTACATGTACACAAAAAGTCATTAGATATGTGGTCATAAATGTCATGGTTACATGAACATAAATACAATATCAATGAGGCCAGATCTGTCAACACACTAGATATAACACTACATGCTGCATTTGTATATTTATGTTATAAATAACAGAAATTAAGTATATCTCTGGTATAACAATAGGAAATTCTATAACCATTATATTTAGCCACATTGTACCATTGAATTTGGTGCTTATTCCAAAATTTCAAACAAGGTTAATATAGCTCAACCACAAAATATATTGTAGGTCATTCTAGACTAAAAATTCTGCTTCTGAATTAGAAATTTGTAAAACATTTCAAATTTAATAACATAGGTATTTATTCAAAATTCAATATAAAAAACAGCAACTTAAAAATTGGTAGTAATGGAAGGCAATCACACTCTTCTCAGCTAATTCACCAAAAACTTGAAGGATTCGTAATGATTGAAAATTTATATCAAACATATGGATAACATGATGAAATTTGCATAAATATACTCTACATATCTTGATTAAATCAATAAGTTTATCATCATAGACGGATTCACATTCTATAGACTATGAAACCCCAGATAGGTCATTTCACCTGATTAATGTAGGTCAAATGAAGCATATGTTACATGCATGCAGCAAGGCAACCTTATACCCTTTACTGAACATTTTGTCTGTGCATCACTTGAACGTGTACAGATGTAATAGTCCTGAAGTTAGATAACTAGCTTACACACACTCTGCAATAGAATTCTCATGCCAACATTGTTGAGTGGAAGATGAAAGGTACATGTATGTAGCGTGTAGTTGTAGTGAGATATGGCCCTAAACATGAAAATAACTTTCTATTACAGAAGTGTAAGTTGTTTTACACAGGAGATATTGATGCAAGTTATGAAAACTTAACCACAGTTGGTGGAAGAGTTTACTGTATGTTGTACTCATAAATAATGGTGGAGAAAGTCTCAAGAAACACAATTTATTTGAATTAAAAAAAAAAAAAATGCTGATTCATGCAGGAGGACATTGAGATATTTATAAAAAGTTACAAAAAAAATCCAGGTAGTAATGTGACATATATTATCAGGTACAGATAAGCTTCAATTACTAGAACTCAATAATGTTAAAACCCCAATAGATAGTTTACCGTCCATGTTTATCTTTATAATGTACTAAGTGTGATGAATATTTATATATAACAGATTAAAGTTATCTTGTTATTGACCACTATATATACTATCTACACTCTGACCATATTAACTGCAAACATTGACCACCTATATAGTACTACCAATATACTAGTAGGTACTGATACATTAGTATATGAGTACATTTAAGGCAGTCTCTGGTGTTGACAGAACAGATTTTCTACGGTAGTGCTCAATGATAAAGCTTTACAGCTTCAGCAGATCTATTATCTCATAGTATCAACAAACTACCACAGCAAGCCAATAAGTAGCCACTGTCCGTATGGTCCCACATCTATGAGCCAGACAAATTCAATTACTTGTTACATATTAAGTAAACACTATCTTGGTTGCTATCATAATAGCTGAATAAGACATTTCAATAGGTCAAGGTTTGCTCTTCCGACTCTGACAATATAACAACATCATCATTGATTTTTTCATTGGCTACAAGTTCATTAAATTAATAATAACATTTATACAAAATACATAATTTCAGCATTTGGATAAATGTAACTCGAAACTGCATCTGCATACTCTGTTTACACACTTTGGAAAGCTCTTAGACTAAATCACTACTGCTGAAGTAAAGAACTATTTACTACCTGAATTTTATGTGTACCCATGTAGACTAGGCTGTTGAATTTTAGTAATTTCAGAAGCCATACAATATTTTCCTGGAAATCAGAGGGTCACTAATATACTAAGCTTCAAAGTTTAAGCTAAGTTGGAGTAGTCAGCAACACACTTTGATTCAAGCTTTTATTGACTAGTCCTGTATGTTAACTTTGTTCCAAAATTGATGGAGATCATCAATATCATTATAGGGCAACATCCTGATAAACATCATTCCTGAATGATATCAAATGTAGTTTTATGGTAAATTCAATCGTCCTTGACCTGGCATGTTTATATTCAGTGAAAGACCGATATGATTGCATGATAATTATATAAATGACACATCAGAGGACCATATCAGACACCCCCAGCTATTTAGTTGGGGTCAAAGGGTTAAGAGTCACACTCCACAATGCCATTTAATGTACCTCATACAGGTTTTCTGATCTGATTAAATCTAGAGTTGGATTCTATAAATACATGTAGGTGTAAAATGTACCTGACACTGATGCCTGAGGACACCAATGAATACTGGTAATGTCAACCACATATTGGTAACTTCCTCAAAAGTTTGGGAGACATTGTTATATACTAGATATTGTAGAGTAGTCAGTGATCTTTTTGCTCTATTTTACAGCCATAAACAGGCTGTTTCCCCAAGTCAAAATTGGTGTTATTTTCCCAAAATGAGGCAAAATTCAAAATAGTTTCCCATTTTTTTCTGAAAATTCTACTTTATTATACCAGTTCAAAAAGGTATAGACTGCTGTAAAATCAACATAGAAAAAACACTGATTGTGAGATAAATACAGTTTGCTGTGGCTATACAACTGTAGACTGAAATATTCTTTCTGTGATATCATTTCATAAATGTTAAAGCACATCCTTTTTAAATCACAAAAGCATCATGCATTTTCAATTTGGGTATTAATGGAAATGACACAACAGGAGCAGAAAATAAGAGATGGAAGTAATTCTATTTTTATCTCACACACAAACACTCACATATATGTATTTTGGTTGTAAGGGTAAATACAAATTTGTTGCGGGCACACAGTTTGTTTTCTTTTGCAATGAAAATTATAGTAAATTTGCTGAGTGACATCCACATTGCACATTTCTTACCACAGTGATTAAAGGTTGATAGTTAACGCCTACATCTTACCACAGACTGACCATAATTTTAATACCAGTGAGGTACCCTAAGGTACATGACTTTGTATGCTGTCATATGTATAGATTATATTTCAAGAAACTGTCCTTTGTATCCTACATTTGTCATGGAAACTGGTGATGACAACAAACAGAAGCAATGACGAGTGCATAAGTTCAGCCATAGACACCGGTTATCGATCGCTGTTTTGTTTACAATCTGATCTAAAGATAATAAGTCATCTGTCAAACAGAAAACACACCGCCGTGTAGGTTCGTGTCATCAGTATGAAGCAGATGTATGATACCAAAAGAAAAAATACAAACTGTAAAATGACTTCTTATTCTATAATTAGAAATTCACGTGTGAATCATCGCTTGAAAACGTCGGTTATATGCATTCAAAGAACAAGCTGTAACGCCCCTGTTTTCGCCATTCTTACCTCATCACTGTCAGCTCCGAAATGTTCTTTAGCCAAATTCTTAAAGTGATCAACGGTTATATAGCCTTCCTTTTCAACATCACACACATCGAACACAGATTGAAGTTTTCCCCTTAAATCTCCGTCCATCGCCTTCTTTTCTACACCCCCACCGCCTTTCACCTTTGGTGAACTATCCAACAATCTGTCCATACAGGTAAATTTGACTCAACTGGTGCCGAAGAACTATGAAAACAGGAAGTGCGTACATCATTAAATATAGTTCATAATAAATGTGCACCTTTATTTATCATATGGTATATGTTTGATCTACAGAACACCCCACCAAGCAAACTGTTAAATTTTATGAGTTGTTTTCGTTAAATAATCACTTTGGTTGATCAATTAATTTTTAGCCATAACGTTGAAAAGAGTGCGGATTGATACCTCCATGTCACTTCCTAGTGTGGTCGACAGGTGCGATGTTGTGCAAACAAAGTGTGGTTTCCGATAGGAAGACGTCAATGGAAAACGTTGTTGATGAAAATTTATTTCTCCAGTTCATTTAAGAATACTGTAAGTTTTTATTGCAATATTAGTAAAAACACTTACGAATTGAAAAAAGTTAGTATAATCTTTTCTAGTTTCAGTTTCAATTTATACCTCGTAGCAAGGGCGACAACTCGTACGGATTCCACCGAAAGCTCGTATTGTAACGCTCAAGCGACTGCGAAATTATCAAACAGGTATGCAAAATGTATATTTACGACAAAGAAGTACCAATATACCTTATAAAAATTATTTCTATTATTATATTTCAATCAGCTCATACTAAAAAAGGGAGAAAGTGAAATTTACTTATAATTTTAGGAATTAATTCGATATAGTTTAAATCACACCTTCTGAATAACAATTACACTTATAGATGGAAAAGGACGTTTTTAAGTTGTCATAACTTGTATCCAACTTTTTTTGAATTTTTCAAATAAAATGTGCTTAAACTAAAATATCTTTTGATCGCACGACGGAAAAGAGATTATGGATAGACCGCAAATGAAGACATGTACATTTAATCATCATAAAAATCGATCATCTTAATTCGTGATTACCTTGTGAAAGGGGGCGGTGTATATAAATTCTTTAACCGTGACATGCACAATGTATTATCCTACACTAGGTTTGCTGGCTGCATAAATACCCGTAACAACACAGTGGAAATATGAAACATCATTGTTGAAAACCTTTCAATACAAATGATTTTATAACATTATAACAAACATAGAAGTGAACATGATACTTCTATAAAATACCGACATACCCCGAAACAACACATGATATACATTGTAAAATTGAAACCAAATGGAAACACTTGCGGTGGATGAAAAGGCAAGAAACACAGAAACTGAAAGCCCAATATGGTCAAAGCAGACCTTTGAAATAAAAAAGATGTCCAAATACATGTAGATGAAGGAAAACCCAAAATCGTTTTGGAACTATGCTAATTCAAACCTAAAATCAGTAACTTCATTAAATGCTTTGGAGAAACCTGAGGTAGGACTGACGGAAAGTGGCTACGTAGACAATAACACATCATAGAAATATCAAAATAAGATGCAAGATCCAATTAAATAACAAAGATCGATGTTACATGCAAAATAATGGAAAGAATAAGGGACAGATTAGGACATCGCTTGCAAGTGTAAAACACAAACTGGCAAGTTTGTCGAATACCTGTAGTATATCTTCATTTATTTACACTTTTTACTGTTGGAATGGTATCACACGATGTACGGCATGGGAGAAGCCATTTTAGGATGACTGAATGTCTGCCTATCAAACAAAAGTTAAAAAGGCGATAGTAAACGGACAAAAGTTAAACAGGCCTTAGTGGTGGTGGGGTCACATAGGGAACTGTTCTTAATATACTGAAGACATCTCGGACAAAACAACCAGCAAAGTCAAAATTGTAGATAACAGTGACATGGGACGACCATTAGTTCAAATAATTCATTCTATACATGCGTTGATCAAATTAGATATGTAGCCAACCAGTGCCAGGAAGGCGTTATTCATAATCTGGAACAGGTTGAAGCAGTTTTCAACTGACCAACGACTCAAATTTAGTGAACATACTTGACTAGCGCTACAGTAAAATTAAACAGAAGCATGGGCTTGATAATCGGGACCTACTTTTTTGGACAAAACAATGTTCGCATCATTTTGTAACTATTTGGCATGGCCTCGTTTAGAATATGCTTCTGTCGTCTGGTGAAACTCATTGAAAAAGACCAAAATTCCACAGAAAACCTCTCTGAAAAAGACAACCAAATATGTACATGAACTGATGAACAAACCCTATTAAGAGGGCGCTCAGGACAGACATTACCCAGCGCTTGGTAAATCAAGGAACACCTTGCCACATTACGTGATCAACCAAGAAAATGAAAACATGAACAAGTCAAATTAATATTGGCACGACACGATTCATGCCCCGCCGTCAACCATTGAACAACTGGGATTTTCTGGATTACTGGTTTTGTTAAGGATTATAAAAAATTCTCTGGAGTTAGGTAAGGCTCTTCAATTATGTCATTACCGTTTTTATAAAATGAAAAAAAAATAAATGAATGAAAAAAAAAAACTCAAGTTAAATGGCCATAACTATGGGAAAAATAACTTTACTATAACCCAAACAGAAGCTAATCCGTATATCATCAGTATGCAAGTACACACGTACATACCAAATTACGGTTCTATACTAAAAGGATAAGAAACGCTGGGTGAATTTTTAACCAGAAATTAAGTATGATATCAGGCTTCATTTAAAACGAAATTTTGTATACTTACAGATAAATTGAAGCTTAAAAAATTTCAAAGTCTATATTTTACATCTGACAATTGGTTTAGAGGTACTAACGATTAAATTGAATGGACCCATAGGATTTTGAAATTGAACTGAGTCATCAATATCTTGTGTGTCCTCCGTTTGCTGTGGTCACGGCCCTTATTCTTCTGGTCATAGAGTTCATGAGAGCGTTAATCCGTATTATAGGGATGTTGTCCCACTCTTCAATCAGAGCTCTGGTCAACTGCTCTCGAGTAGCAAGGGGTGGCTGGCGCTTTCGAACCTGTCTATCCAACTGGTCCCAAAGATGCTCGATCGGGGACAAATCAGGGCTATATGGCGGCCAATCTAGTGGTTGAATGTTGTTGTTGGCCAGAAAAACTTGGCAAATCCTTGCTACATGGGGCCTAGCATTATCCAGTTGGAGGGTTAGATTATGCTGCTGTAAGAAAGGGATAACATGGGGTCGGAGGATCTCATCTCTATACTTAACTGCTGTTAAATTGCCATCAATAACAACCAACTGTGATTTTAACCCGTGTGAGATTCCTCCCCACACCATTATCGAACCGCCCCAAACCTATCCCTCTCTACAACGAAAGCGTCCGTAAAACGTTCGCCACTACGTCGGTAGACACGTTGACGGCCGTCAGATCGATAAAGACAGAATCGAGACTCGTCCGTGAAGAAAACTTGTCTCCACTGCCTCAGTGGAAACCGTCGTGGAGCATGTGCAGCGACCCAGGCCATACGACGCTGACGTCGAGCAGGGGTAAGGTGTGGACCTACGTATGGGCGACGTACTCTTACACCAACTTCTCGTAATCGATTCCTTACAGTTTTTGAACTTATAGGACGCCCATGATTTCCACGAACATTAAGTGCACTCTCAACGGCAGTAAGGCGCCGATTACGCACATGAGAGACGACGATATAGCGATCCTGACGTCGTGACGTTACGCGCGGACGTCTTGACCTAGGTCGATCGGCCAATCGCCCAGTTTCCCGAAGACGTCTTACAAGACGTTCTATGGTGGACACATTAACACCAAAGTGCCTAGCAACGTGATTTTGCAGCTGTTCTTGCATCAGCATCTGAATGGCCTGACCCCTCTGAACTTCTGTGAGTTGTGCCATTCTTAAAACGAATCAAATTCTCAATTAATTTTAGGGAAGCAGTTGGTCTGTATAAAGACTAACTAAGAGTGACTTGACCAACGCTGCATGAGACCAGCACAACACGGTGCACGGGATTCTTGTTTTTTCCTTCCTCCATTTACCAGAGCTGCGCACTGTACCGTGACTAAATTTTCGATACATGACAAGGTGTAATATGACCTAATTACTCAATCCACAAAGTTTCACTTTATTTGGAGAACGCGTTTTCAAAATATCGGAATAAATATTACCCTGCGTTTCTTTATCTTTTCAGTATATATACACCTGTCTGTTTCAGAGGTAACGGGTGGAAAGGAAACTATGACAAAATGACGGACATGCTATATATCTTAATGAAATGGCGTTGGACTAGAAAAAACAACAAGCAAACAAACAACAACCCCCCCCCCCTCCAACAACCCCCCCCCCCAAAAACAAAAACAAAAAAAAAAAAAAAAAAAAAAAAAAAACCGAGAAAAACAAAACAAAAAAACAACAATTCTTTCCAAAATGTTACGAGTAGCCAAAACTTATTAGTGGAAAGGTATATTACATAACTAATCAATTATAATTATTTATCATGGTTTCAATACCACTTCTTTTCAATGTATTTTTACCAGTTCTACCGAATACATCCATTTTCAGCCCAGTAGTATCTTAGCTGTAAGCTCCAATAGATGTATTTTGACTTCAATTTCGACACTGAGAACTACACGGTTAAGGTAGAAGTGGAAGAGAAGAGAGGCAACAGAAACCCAACTAGAGAAACACTTTGGTCGAACAGTGGGTTGGCCACCAATACTGGCCCACCAGCTGGAGGACTTCATGGCTGCAGGCTGCCGAAGATTTCTCTGGTGATGCCAGTATTGGAGAGTTAAAACTGAACACGTTTTCATCGTATTGGTATTACAGTAGCTACTCTAAAAACGTATTATAAAGGTTTTTTTTATCAGTATGATTCCCTATAAAAAGTTCGTTTTTTTGTTTCAAAGTGTTCCCACTAATCGAACTAGCAATAATAGAAGGCAAATACTTTGTTGTTTGATCAGTAAATGCATGAGTAATTATAGCAAGGTAGAATCCATTTCCATTATACAAGAAAATGCAGCATGAAAGTAATTACTTTCGTCGAATTTTCTATGAAAACAGTTAGGTAATTGTTTC